TAATTTGTTAATAGCCCATGTTTCACCTTATCTGACAAGGTTCTTTCATACACTTGTCAATATAAATACCTGGGTCATTTGATCTCAATCGATATGCTGGATGACAAAGATATCTTAAAACACGTACGTTTTATGTATGCTATAGCGAACCTCATCCGTAGAAAGTTTAGCTCTGCACAAATACAAACAAAGATCATGTTATTTAATGGCTTTTGCAGCCCAATCTATGGATGTCAGTTATGGTATCTTTGGAGAAAAGACTCATTTTATCATCTATGTGTTGCTTATAATAATGTACTTTGCTTGATATTGAACAAGCGAACCTCATCCGTATATATCACATCCAATATATCTTAATATAGAAAAAACAACTTTTACTGGAGTTTGAGGTTTCATGCCTGTCAGCAATCATCAGCCATGAAGTACAAAATCAAAATGAAGTACAAAATCATGAAATGAATGAAATCAAAAATGAAATCAAAAAAAATGAAGTACAAAAACCATGAAGTACAAATTCAAAATTACAAACGGTAGAATAAGTTCTGACGTTACAAGAGGTTCTGAGTACACGAAGGCGTAATGGAAAACTAATCTCCACTATCAAATAATGAAAGGAGAAGTTTATATTTGTGTTTACATTTAGAAACTAATTCAGTGGCGTAACTTGGAGGGAGCATAACCCCGGAATGGGGGGGCCTGGAACTTAGAGGGCCCCGCGGGGATTTACAAATTTTACTTTTATGAATAATATGACTGGTAGTAATAATATGAGTGTACTAATTTCTGTTTTATCAAATACATTTTATGAATTTATAATTTTTCGCGTATCCCTACGGGCATTTTTTTTAAAAAGTTACATTCTAATTTAGAACGTTTAGAATTTCAAAACGTTAAAAAAACTTTTAGTTGATGTCTAAAAATTTGTAAACTGTTAAAAAATTTAAAATGGGAGAAAAAATTTAAGGAGTGCCCCTTTACTTTTTTGGCGGGGTGGGGTGGGGGGGGGGGGGGGCCGTCAAATTTATAGTTACGCCACTGAACTAATTCGCCGCTTTTGTTTAGTAGGTTGTCTCCTTTGTAAATAAATACTTTTGACGCAGGATTGTATGATTTACAGCGTTTAATAATATTCCATTTGATAGAAGATATAAAGTTGTTTTCCTTTAATTCCCATACTTCCTTAAATAACTCAGTGTTATTTTTCTACTTTTTTATGTTAAAGGATTTAAGATGGTTTGCATAACGTAGCTAAGAAGAGATTTTGCTTATCCCAATGAATAGTTTATCTTAGTATTGAGATTTATTTGAGCTTACGTAACTTAGTTTACTATCAGTCTTGCATTATGGTTGGAATGAATTTTGAGTAAGATTAAAAGTTAAATCAAGGCAGTTAACAGTTTTAACATTGTAATTTATAGAGATGTTGAGATTATTACGTTTAAAAACTTGAACGACATGCTTTTTTATTTGTTCCATTTAGTCGCCATTTTTGTTCTTAAAAAGTTGTCACCTCGATATAAACCGAAATCATTTTTGTTCTAAAACAGCAAAAGTTGATCTAAAATAAAAATCCCAACTTGTTCGCAAACTTCCGCGCATAATTTTTAACGGCGGCAATACATGGAATAAGAAAAGAGCGGGATTGTTTGATGTTTACCATGGGAGCCTATGAGGGTGCGTAATATATATATATATATATATATATATATATACTATATATATATATATATATATATATATATATATATATATATATATATATATATATATATATATATATATATATATATATATATATACATATATATATATATATATATATATATATATATATATATATATATATACATATATATATATATATATATATATATATATATATATATATATATATATATATATATATATATATATATATATATATCGTCTAACTACCGTCCCATTAGTTTTCTAAAGCAAGGTTTTTGAATCTTTTATTAAGAAACACATAATCTCTCAAATTGAACCTAATAACTTACTTTCTGATCATCAATACGGATTACGATCTTCTCGTTCTACGGCTGATTTGGTAACATTATTAACCGATAGGTTTTATCGCGCATTAGATAAAGGTGGAGAAGTTAAGACCATTGCTCTTGACATTTCAAAAGCGTTTGATAAAGTATGGTATGCTGGTCTTCTCCATAAGCTTTCTTCATACGGTGTATCTGGAAACATCTTTAAGATTATTAAATCCTTACTTCCCAATCGTAGTATAAAAGTTGTCCTTGATGGACACCACTCTTCTTCTTATTCTGTTAACTCAGGGGTTCCTCAAGGTGCAATCCTTGGCCCTTTACTCTTTTTAATTTACATTAACGATCTTCCAGGTATTCTAACATCTTAGGTGGCATTGTTCGCTGATGATACTACCATTTATTCTTGTCATGATAAGAAGCCGACTCTCTCTGATTGCTTGGAGAAGGCATTTGAGCTTAAAAAGAATCTCACTTCTGCTACAGCATGGGGCTCGCAGTGGCTGGTGTCTTTAATTCAGATAAAACTCAATTTTTTTCTGCCGATTGTAATTGCAATAATTTAGACCTTCCTATATTAATGAACCGTAATGTATTCGATGAGTCATCTACCCTTCATCTTCTAGGATCAACTCTTACTTCTGATCTTTCTTAAAAACCATATATCGAACCCGTTGCAAAATTAGCATCTGCTAAAGTAGCATCTTTTTATCGAGCTCAACACTTTTTTTACTCTGGATTCTATTTTATATCTCTATAAAACTCAAATCCGGCCTTGTGTGGAATACTGTTTCCATATCTGGGGCGGATCTTTTAATGATGCTCTTTCTCTTTTAGAAAAGGTGCAAAAACGCGTTGTAAACATAGTTGGGCCTGCTCTTGCAGCCAATCTTATCACATTGTTATAATTTTGCTTCTCATTTTCTTTTCAACAAACACAATAATGGGCACTTCTCTAAATAGCTAGCGTCTCTTGTGCCATCTACTAAAATTCACTCTCGTGTTACTCGTCATTCAATTAAGTTTCATCTTTTTTTTGTTACTGTTCCTAAGTGCTCCAAAACTTTCATTCGTCTAGCTTTTTTCCTCAAACATCAGTACTTTAGAATTCGCTGCCTTCATCTTGCTTTCCTGATTCATACAATTTGTATTCTTATAAGTCGACTGTCAATCGTTATCTTGCTCTACAATCTTCATCTTTTTTCTTCCAGTAACGTCTAACACTAATTAGTGGTTGCTTGCAGCCTTGTTGAAAGCAATGATGTTTAAATATATATATATATATATATATATATATATATATATATATATTTAAACATCATATATATATATAATGTATATATATATATATATATATATATATATATATATATATATATATATATATATATATATATATATATATATATATATATATATATATATATATATATATATATATATATATATATATATATATATATATATATATATATATATATATATATATATATATATATATATATATATATATATATATATATATATATATATATATATATATATATATATATATATATATATATATATATATATATATATATATATATATATATATATATATATATATATATATATATATATATATATATATATATATATATATATATATATATATATATATATATTACTCTTAAAAAATGATGTTTATAATATAATAAAAAATATTAAAATACTACATTATATGAAGAAATAATGCAAATAGTATAAAACTAATTCAAAGCACAAACCTTTTTAAAAAGAACTAAGGAAAAACAAGTACTAAAAGAGAAGAAAAACATACATAAAAAATTAAAAAGTAATAATTTAATTATTGACATTTATCCTTCCAGTTCATTAATATTTTACTAACTTATTAATCATAGTGTAATACTACATCAAAGAACAAAGCTCTACGACCTGCACAATTTAAAACACCTTCAAACACATCATCAAGTAACCTTGATGTATATATATATATATATATATATATATATATATATATATATATATATATATATATATATATATATATATATATATATATATATATATATATATATATATGTATATACATATATATATATATATATATATATATATATATATATATATATATATATATATATATATATATATATATATATATATATATATATATATGTATATATATATATATATATATATATATATATATATATATATTTATATATATATATATATATATATATATATATATATATATATATATATATATATATATATATATATATATATATATATATATACATCAATCAATATATATATATATATATATATATATATATATATATATATATATATATATATATATATATATATATATATATCTGGTTCCAAAAAAAAGCAGTCGCTTTTCTAGGTGATATCACAGAGATGTACTTCCAAATTGAGCTGAACTCGAAAGATCGAAGATACCACAGATTTCTTTGGCGGGATCTAGAAAAAAATAAAAACCGTGCGGACTTGTCATCTAGAAGAGTAAAAATAAACAACTTATAAAAAAGTAAGCTGTGGGGGACTGGGCTCGATTTCATCCAACATGAGAAATCCCAATAGCCAAAAAAGGAATTTAAAGAATATGAAGACAAATTAATTTTAGAAGTAAAGAAGACATACTTTGATGGCTATTAAATCCAAAGAGAATAGCGATGACTGGCGTTCAAAACCAACCTGCTACTCAAGTTCGAGAAGGTTAACACGAGTTTTAGCCTCGGTACGAAGGTTCCAACATATCTGTTTTGAAATATTTTCATCATCAGGAACACATTCAACGGAAGAAATTAACGAAGAAACAGAATTAATCACAAATGCTCAAAAGAAAATATACGCGGAAGAGTACAACCAATTAATAAATAAAAAAGGAATTTTAAAAACTAGTTGCTTATTATAATTGTTGCCACAAATAGATGAAAATAAAATGTTAAGATGCAAGAGTCGATTAAAAGGGCTTATAAACTCACGACCATTGACTTATCAATCAAGTGATCCTAAAGACTGCACACCCCTTACACCAAATCATTTTTTATTTGGTCAATTAGGTGGTAGGTTCGCCGCTGATGCAGTGGTTATTACTTCATTCAAACTAAAAAGAAGATGGTGACGAATCTAAGAAGTAATAAAATAATTTTGGCATTGCTGGATAAAAGAATGGTTACCCATGCTTGGACCACGAATAAAATGGAATATCGTAATGGGAAACTTATCGATAGGCAATCTGGTATTGGCGATCTCCGAAAATACTTCAAGAGGCAAGCGGCCACTTGGTCGGGTAACTAAGGTTTTTTCCTGGAAACGATGGGTTAGTGCGTGTTGCCAATTTTCAAGTTGGGAAGGTTATCTCGAAACGTTCGATAACCAAGTTGTGCCCTCTCAAGCCGAATGAACCAGAAGATGTTGACCATATGGTCAAAAGAAAGGAGTATGCTCACGAGGCGATTAGTGTAAATAGTAGTTTAATGTAAATAATATAGTTGTGTTATAAACGTCTCTAAGCGTCATATATTGATCTTAGAGATTTCCTTAGCTAATTAGGCAATTAGCGAATTTTGTATATAGATTATTGTAAAGTTAGAAAATACCAATAATATCTCTTTTGGGGAAATATTATAGGTATAAATAATCGTGTATAAATTTATAAAAAGAAGTGTTTTTTTGAGTTAGCTATTAACGTGCTAATCGAAATATATAGTGCTGAAAAAAGTCACGTATTATTATTGAGTTTAATACGCCCTACGCGCCTTTACACGAACAATATATATATATATATATATATATATATATATATATATATATATATATATATATATATATATATATATATATATATATATATATATATATATATATATATATATATATATATATATATATATGTATATATATATATATATATATATATATATATATATATATATATATATATATATATATATATATATATATTTAATGGCAAAAACATTACAGTTTTTGCTGTAATGTTTGCAGTTGCAACATTAAAGTAAAACCTGGTAAATATATATATATATATATATATATATATATATATATATATATATATATATATATATATATATATATATATATATATATATATATATATATATATATATATATATATATATATATATATATATATATATATATATATATTATATATTTACCAGGTTTTACTTTAATGTTGCAACTGCAAACATTACAGCAAAAACTGTAATGTTTTTGCCATTAAATGAGCTGTAATTCGTGCCATCTGCAAACAGCAATGAATTTAAAATGTTTGAAAGTTTATGAAAATCATTTACAAAAACGGAGCTAGAACTGATCCTTTGAGAACATTGCTTGGGATCGTGAGCTGTGGGATAATGAGCTGAATTTTTTTCGTCATATGATATACATTGATTCCTAATGTAAAACATTTGTTGAGTCTATTTTTATTTTTGATTTAATTTACTAGTTTTATTAATGACATGGTCTACTTTATTAAAAGCTGTACTAAGATCTATTAAAACTGGGTAAACTTTTTTTTAACAAATAATGTAAATAGTTAAATTTTTATTAAATAATGTAAATAGTTACATGGTCAGTGAAAATACCTGACTAAAATCCAAATTGTTTGTTTTATAAAATATTATTAACATTTAGGAAAGTAAAAAGTTGATAATACATAATTCTATTCAAATACTGATTAAGTGTTTTCAAAAATAAAGATTTATTTGCAATAAATTTTTCACTAATATTTAGACTTACTGGAAGCCCATTTTTAGGAGTAGGCTTAGGGTAATGTGCAAAAATACAGAATTGCTAAATATTCATTTCAAACTAATATATTTTTGCATATATGTTTGATACTTATATATCAATCAATAAAGGTCCTCGATTTAAATAACTCTATATCCACGTGTTTTTAAAAATTCAATGTATTTTTATAAAACTTTGTTATGAACTGGTCTATGTAATACATGCATAGATAATGTGACATTGATTCAATTAAAAATTATCCAAAGATATTTTGGTCAAAAGTAATTTTTTGTATTGTTTGTAATGGTTGTTATCACCTTTTGATTTTTTTTTTTTTGACAGTGTATTAATATTTCTAATATATTTTAATATATATTAATATTTGTAATATATTTTGGTTTTTATATTATAACAATTATGAATAATTAATTTACTAAAATCTATATAGTTTTTAGCAATACTCGGTCTATTACTGCTTGTAACTGTAGGTACATGTATAATAATAATATGTATAAATAATTGTTGTATGGAAGGTAATATTGATCTAGTGACGGTCTATATATCATTTATGCAAAAATCTCCAGATTTGAATCCCCTCCCCCTTCCTTCTCCCTTGTACATTTTTTTTTCCAACCCCCTCCCCCCCTTCCTCTCACACCATACGTACATATGCTTAGTGGTCTTACTCCCCCTCCTCTCAACTATAGTTACTATTATAATGTGTAAAGGCAAAATTATTCTAGAAAATAAAACTCTATAAAAACAATACCAAAAATACTTCTGGAAAATAAAACTCTTAACTCATTAATTCTTAAATAATTCATTAATAATTAAAATTAATAAATAAATGTTCATCACATTTATTACAGATCAGAACTTAAGTTGTTCACAATCCATCAACGCTTTCAAAAATAACATAAGAAAGTAACTTTATAGATACAACTGCTGCTTTGTCTGTAGCGTCTGTATCTCCATGTTCGTCAGCATAGAGGGGCCTGGTGTAGCACCTCTTCATCAAATTATAAATGGATTATTGTATTTGTATTTGATCACTGAAATAAAAAAAAAAAAACTATGATACTAAGCAACTAAAAATCATTTCAATGTCAATTATTTCAGTTAATTTTCATTTTAGTTTCCCTATGGCTCTGTGTCTGTGAAATGTCTGTGAATTTCCCTCTGTGTCGAATAGAGTTTAAATTTTTGCGTTTACATACTTACATTTGCTAAAGCTTCCTCACCCCTCTTTCTCCCATACGCACTAGTATGCAAATTACTCAACTTGCAACAATATATGGATCGCCCCTCGTTTTAATTATTACAACTACTTTTTTATTGTTGTTTCTTTTTTTATGTAATGTGTGAGCTCAGTTTCTGGTAATGGTTCAGATTTTGATGACTTTTACGCAAAGATACGAAAGTAGAAAAAATTCTCAAAAGGAAGTAAAAGTAATTATAAAACTAGGCCGGATAAAGTTGTTCAAATATGCAATCAATAAAATTTCCAAAGCCATGGATAACTAACCGGGTTCAATTGACCCACTTCAGATTTCAATCTTGTTGGAACCTATTTTGGAAGAGATTCCGAAAGTTTAATCAGCGATGTCAACATCTCAAGCTTGTGTTAAAAGATTGTTTTCTGATTTAACTTTACTACTGTCGCCTTATCATGCTTCTACTTCCACTTTACTACTGTCGCCTTATCATGCTTCTACTTCCACTTTACTACTGTCGCCTTATCATGCTTCTACTTCCACTTTACTACTGTCGCCTCATCTTCAATGAACTCAGATTTGGTGAAAGCCATTTTATTTTTACGAATGAAAAAAATATATAAATGATTGACTGAAATAAATAGTATGCAATGTTCTTACATAAAAGAAAGTTTAAAAAATGCTAATTGAAATATTATCATAGGATGAAATAAGCAAATAACATAAAAATTATACAAAAATTATAAACTTTTGAAATATTGAAGTTTAATTTAATTTTTTTTAAGGTGATGATTAATGTAATTTAACGTGGCTTAACGTGCTAACGTGATAACGTAACGTGTGAACGGGATTGCTTAGTAACTCAACTTTAACGTAACGCGTTAACAACCCTATGTACTAAAATTATTCAACCTTTCATTAGTTTTTTGTTCACATTGACGTATATATATATATATATATATATATATATATATATATATATATATATATATATATATATATATATATATATATATATATATATATATATATATGTATATATTAGGGGTGGTAGATTAATCGGTATTTTACATTATTCGATTAACGATTAAATTTCCAAAAAATAAATAATTAATCGATTAATTTTCGATTAATATTAGGAAAAATGTGTTTATAACTTAACAAAAAGTAATATATAGTTTTTATGATTTTATTTCTCTTTTCATCAAATATGATCTTAAAAAGCATAAATTATTAATAGTGTCATCATTTAAGCTAGTTCTTAAATTAGTGACAAATAAACCAGCTGCACTAAAACTTCTTTCTGCTTCTATAGAAGACGGGGGAAGACTTAGCATGGCATTGTAAATCTTTTCTAAAGAACTTGGCCCGTTTCCAGTGCTTTCGAGTACTGCAATTTCACGTTTAATGCAAGTCAAAACTTCTTGAGGGGAAGACTTACTAGTTAGCCCTTTAGTTTTTCCTGCTGCTGAAATTGTATTAGATATTATTTCTGCTAATTCTTCAGCTTTAGTTTTTTTTCTTAATGTTTCTGTATTACAAGTAGACTCTAACTCAGACTCATATGCTGCTTCTACTTCCTCGTGTAGAAATAAACTTAGGTATATTTCTCTAGCAGTTTTAGCAATTTTTTTTTTATGTGGGTGTTTCATAAGATTATCTGGAAATTCTGAGTCTGATTTATAGTCAGCTGGGTTTTGTAAAAAGCACATTAAACCAGCAATATTACAATTTCTTCTTTCGACAATTCTCTCCGAGACAACAGTAAATAAATTTTGACCAATGTTAGTATTTTGTTCTTTAAGATTTTGTTGTAAAAACAAAATAATTTTATCAGATCACAGTCTCTTTTCCCTAGTTCCATAACACTTAACTCTACAACATGTAGAGCCTGGACAATATCAGAAATCTTCTTTTAAAATTAAATTCTTTTAAAATTCTTCTTCTTTTAAAATTAAATCTGTTCTAGATATATCAACAAGAGCCTTTGATATTTTAATAACTTTAAAAATCGTTTTAACATACTTATTAGAGAATTCCATCTTGTTTTAGCATCCAAAATAGGCTTAAGTTCTTTTCTTAAATCTGTTCTACAAATATTTTGAAGGAAATTGTTTTTAAGTGGAGATTTTCTGAAAAGTTTGACTATTTTACGAACCTTCAATATGATGATGCCATAGTCCTCATTAAACTAGATTTCCTGTGAAACAGAGCTAATACTTTCCTCATTCCAGCATTCTTCAGTGTTGTTTTCATCATCAGGGTCGGACTCAGATGTTTCATTTTCATTCTCATCACAAATTATTTCTTCTTGAGTTGTTTCTATTTCTAAGCATTTTTTCTTATAAAGAACATCACATACAGCAAGATGAATTCCATGGCAGTAGCAAAGTTGGTGTGTAACTCCCATTTCTCGTCCCATTTTTTTCATTACTGATGCACCGTCAGTAACACATCCAAAAATATCATTGATCAAATCAAGCTAAATTCATTTAATTTATCAATAACAATATTAACAGCTCTTTCTGAAGGCAACGAACCATTTATTCTAATCATTCCAAGACCATAGTGACATTTGTCTGAGCAATGTACATTTAGACATAAATACCTTCTAGTTTTATCAGAGGTCCACTCATCAAGAGAAATTGAAAACCTTTCTCCTTTTAGTTTTTTTTGCTAAAGCTTTTGAACAATTTTTAACTTCATTTAGTTTGCGTAGTTCATACCAATTTTTTTTATAGCATGTCGATCATCAGGGATTTTAAGTCCTTGAGCTTTCCAGCCAATTTTAATATCTTTGCTATTGGCCAAAGTTGTAAAAGGGATACGATCAACAGCAGTCAAACGAGCTAACACATCTTCAGCTTTGCTATTTATATTATTTCAATAGGCAGCAGTACTTGGCTGTATATTTTTAGACTTCTCCTGAAAGAACTTTTGTCAAAAAAAATTTATGTTTGTGCTCTAAATGATACAAGAAACTTGAAGTTGATGAATGGAATTTAAGTTCGACTGAACAATGTTTGCACTTGTACGTTGATTTGTCTTTATTTTCCAATAAAAAATGTTTCCAAACTTTAGAGCGGATTTTTTCAAACGACATTGTAAATGGTGCTCAAGCAGTCGCACTATGAAAAAGTATTGCTTGTTTATAATTATATTTAACCGGACGCCGGATAAACGTCAACTAAGTCTTTTTCGTTAAAAAAACGCTTGTAAATGTTCGTAAAAATCTTTGGAACAAAAAAATACAAAGTTGTTATATTAAAAAAAAATTAATCGATTATTCGTTTGTTAATTAATCGATTAATGATTGATGATTTTTAATCGATTAATCGTTTACCACCCCTAGTATATATGTATATATATATACATAATTAAATGTTCAGATTTTGTCTGGGACAACCTCTAGTCCTGTTCCTATTGATCTCATGAACTCACGTGCAAAATTTCATAAAAATATTCCTTCATTAAAGGGTACCACATGCCAACTGATAAAATCACATGTACGCGATAGAAAAGACAGCCATGTAAATTAATGGGTTGTTGAATATTATTAAAATCTTTAAATACATTTTTTTATCTGTAAATCCATTTTGAACACAACCAGAAGTCTTTTCAATGAGGTGTACTCTTTATGTTTTTTTTTGAGAATCTGACCAGTTGTTAAATTTATCAACTAATTAATATTCTGTATATGAAAAATATTATTAAATTTCCAAATACAGATAAAAAAACAGAAATATTATTTCATAGCATTTTTAGAAATTTGTTACATTCAAATAGTTAAATTTTTATAGTGCTTAATTATTAATTACTTAGCTGCAGCCCACTTACTTATTTTTTCTATCCCAGAATTCCTTGTAATTTGCCACCAAACCGCCATTTTGTATTTTTATCACTATCAGACTACCAAATTAATTATTTTAACTAAAATTTTTTATTTTTAACAATTTTGCAGTGGAATATCTTAATTGTGAAAAGTCAGTATACATTTAAGTTGATATTTTGTTATATAAATTATGTAAACTACTTTGATTTTTTTTTATATAAATTCATATCTCTAAACTCAAAAAAGATACTGAATAATGGATATCACAGAATATATACTAAATGAATAAAATTTTACAACTTTTGCAATTCACATCATGCTTATTGCATAACTTTATTGTATTTTTCTAGATTAATAAATATCAGAAAATTTCACAATCAAAACCTGCAACTAGATCTTCAACCGAAATTTACCTACTCGGTTTCACAAATGCCTCTATTAATGGTACTAGACTACCGTCACGAAAGCAAGCATTACAGTTTTTCTTCCATTAGTTGAAAATAAACAAAAAAAACCGTGCGAGAAAGTTCGGACATTACTATTAAAACAGTTGCTGATTTTTGGAACAAAGCTTACATGCCAATGACAGCATTGCAACATGCAATTGCGAGGCTAGAGAAAATATACAACGAGGGGAGAAATCTACAAAAGGCTTCAAAAAGAGGAGGAGCAACTCAGATAGCGAAAGAAACAGCCTTTGTTGCATCATTTGAAGATACGTTCGACATTTCTCATGTTGATGCCGAGAGGCTTATACAAAATTCAGAAGACTTTTTTTAAAGCTCAGCTTGGAAATGGAAGACACTCAAGTTCAATGGCAGAAATAGACAGAAAATTGGCAGTCAAGTTGAAGCGTAAACATGAGAGACAAGAGGCTATAAAAGCCAGAACAGAACAAGAAGAATTGAGACATGCTGTCAGCAACGGTGAAGCTGTAGTTGAAACATTTGAATCAGATTCAGAAAAAAGTTGCAATGAGAACGTAGATTCTGACCATGACTCAGCAGTGACACCGCAGACAAAACGACCTCGTCCAAAAAATGTTGTCAGTCCACAAGTTGCAGCAGCATTAGATCGAACGAAGATCAGCGACCGAAATGCGGTTTATGCTTTGGCTTCATTCTCAGTTGCTGTTGGTCAAAACCCAAGTGAACTAACTCTGAATCGCTGGTCAATTCGACGCAATAGAATGAAACATAGAGACGAAACAATTTTGAAATTGAAGGAAAGTTTTGGTGAAAATATTAGGGATGTTCCACTCGTAGTGCATTGGGACGGCTAGTTACTCCCTGATTTATTTATGCTCAAATATATGCTCGGGCTTGTCCCATCTCATTTTACTAATAACTTTTTTCAAACCTACGCCAACAGATATAGTACAAGAGGAACAGGAAATTTCACCCTGCCCATTAAAAAAACAAAATTTTTAAGATTTTCAATTGCATACCGTGGCCTCTACTTATACAACAAAATAATATCTCAAAATATAGAACTTACTAAATTAGATAATCTTACTATCCTTAAAAAAAAATTAAAAGATCTCATAATTAACAAATCCAATTTTATCGATATGTATTAAATGTAAAAGAAAATGAATATAATAAATGTAACAAGAACAATTTAAATTTTAAAATAAATAAATAAATAAAAATAATAGTAATAATAATAATAACAAATATAGTAGCAATTATACATAGTAAAATATTACTGAACAGTGGACCTCAAAGTTAATGTGTGTTTTGTGAAATTACTCTTTAAATTTTTTGTTCATTTTGCATTTTAAAGGTTCTCGATGAAAAGACTTCTCTTAGTCTTCTGCGAGTTTCCTTACAACAACATAGCGTTATTATGATATATTAATATATTTTTTCAACGATAACCACAAGCCAGTCCCTAGTAGCCCTGTGGTGCGACGGACTTGCGTATATTTTTTAAATGCATGGGTTAATAGCCAGCACTTTATA